ACCACAAATTAAAAAATTAAAATGGATAAATTTGTAAATAAAATTAAAAAATTTTAATCCGTTAGCGGTTTGGTACAAAAAGTTACATAAACTAATTTTTTCAATCCGTTAACGGTTTGATAAACTAACTTTTTCAATCCGTTAGCAGTTTGGACTCTAACCGCTATTCGCTAGTCTCAAACTGCTAAATAAAAATTATACCAAACACTTTATTTATAGCGGTTTCGAAACATATAAATTTATCAAACATCTATATTTAGTAGTTTAGGTAAAATCGCTAACCGCTACCTCAAAACCGCTATATCAAACAGGGCTTAAATAAAAGAAACAATAAAGAAGTGGCAGCCCAAGGCCCAAACAGGCCCAGAAACAAAGAAAAAAGGGTTTCAATGACGTGTCAAAGATCTTCTTTCGAGTTCTCTTGTTGTTGCTCAGCGGATGTCCCCCTCTTCTTCTTCTTCTTCTTCTTCTTCTTCTTCTTCATCATCATAATCATCATCATCATCATCTCTCTCGCGGTCTTACCTGTTGCGCTCCAAGTACGTTACGTTATCTCCTCTCTTTCTCTTGATTCATGGATCTTCTAATGTTCAATTTCTGTTTCTGATCCAATATCGCATATCGATTATTCTAGTAGTTTTTCTGGTTATTATTCTGCTTTCTAATTCCTAGTTTTCTTTTCCTTCCCAAAAACGTGTATGTATGATTTGTGTAGAAGTAGATTCGAATTTTTAGAACTGATTTTTTAGCATCTATTTTTTCGTCTGATAGCTAGTGAATTTAAAGAAAAAAAGATATATTATTGATCGTATTTTTGTTAATTTAAGCTAATTTTTCAATCGAAAAACATTATTTCGAATTTTTTCTACTTTCATTTCTTGACAAGCAATTCTTTAATGTTTTAATTAAAAAAAAAAATCAGACATTGTTTTTACTTTTGTTTTAACATCGTTTTTGTCAAATAGGTGCACGGGACTAAGGTAGCAAGAGAGGGATGAGATAAATTGCCATGCAGATCTTTTACCGTGGGTTTGTTTCGCAGATCAAGTTATCACTCAATTGTATATTTTATCGAAATTTCACCTAGTTAGTTTCTTGCAAAAGAGTTATCAGCTTACTGATATAGAGGCTGGCGTTGGTTTGTTCAGTTAAGTTGGTACCGTTTTTACAACATGCCATATTATATACAGAGACTTTATAATACCTGCAAAGCTTCGTTCTCACCCAATGGCCCTGTGTCAGAGGAAGCACTTGAGAGAGTTCGTACCATGTTAGGTATTCAGAGATGACCCTTCTGCTCCTTGTTTTTATTTTTGAGCTTAATTGAATTAAACTCTCTTGGAAATTTTATGCCTTTTTCTACCTAATATTACCTTTTGTAATTGACGACAGATAACTCTTACAATAACTTTTGGTTGAAAGTATCTGTTCATTTTCCTTGTGTATATATATTGTCTAAAGTGGTAATAAAAAACTAATGAAAAATTAGTTTTCTCAATATATTTTAACTGTACTAATGCTTTTAATGATATTCATTCAAATATATGCTATACATGTTTCTATTAATGCTTTTTTTGTGTATGTATGCATGTTTATTCTAATATCTGCTCACTTTTATGTTGGACTTTGCAAGTATTTTAAGAGCATGTCTGCTAATTGTACCTTGTGTCGTAAATAATTTAACACATGGAGTTTTGGTCAAGTAAGCTTGTATGCTGTGATATAGAATCATCAGATCTAAATGCTTGAGGTGATGGGTAATCCACTAGCTAAGATCCATACATGTTTTTATGAAATTTAATGGAGAGTAAAACATGTGGTGGAAAGGGAAAATTGCAAGGAATGACAACAGACCTTGTTAGTAAAACTTATCTGAGCTAGGATATCAATAATACAACTGACAGGATATGAAAACACAAGTGACTAAAGCACTGATGGAAAGAAGGCAAGAATTAAGAAGTTGCTGTTATTTCTTTGCATTAAGTAAAGGGCAGGCAGTAGAATATATCTGGGTGACCCACCATTCAATCACAGACTCTCATGAATAATGCAACTGAAGTGCCTTATTGATAATTGAGCCTTAACCTTTTTGATGCCACTATGCACTTTGATCTGATAACTCTATTTCTTGGCAGAACTAAGTTTGACTTGTGAGCCTCAAAATTGTAACGAGTCAATAGGGATTTTTGTTGGTTTGGAAACTCATATTTTCAGCAATAGGTTTTCTCTTCACCAGTTGATGAGAAGTATATCCATTGGTCTTGAATTTTGGCTTTGTACTAATTGATTAGTCTTCCCTCATAGCCCCAACATGCCTCTTTCAGATTTGAAGATAAAGAGTTGACAGGAATCTTTTAAAGCTACCTAGTTAATCTGGAGATTAATCCAGAGAAGTATGGCCATTTTCACTGGCTTGTGTTCTTTTTCTGAAATATGAGTAATGCAGAAGTGGTCGATTTCAAAAGATCGAGGGGGTGCCTTCTTGGTACAGGTCATTATTGCAACTTGTGTCTCTAGCTTTAGATAATGCTGAAATACACAATTCCTCTTGGATGCCTATAGAGATGAAGGCTATTGAACCATAGAGTAGTTTTCTTATAGATCCTTTTGTTCCTGCAATATGTATCAGTTGACATGAAGGCCCAAACAAGTCAGCAAAGTAATGCATTCTTTGCCATTTCCTTCTTACTTGCTGTAACCTTTTAGTCACAACATATACTGCCTAAAGCAACATAGACATTTTTTGCCTATACATGTAGTTAGGGAGTCAAAATTGAACTAGTAGTTCTCTTTGTTTCACATTTGTCTTGGCCATTAGGCATCTTCCAGTACTGTAGTGTTCTTTTAGAGATTTCAAATGTTAAAAGCTTTCAAATAATCATTTTGCATATCAATCTATGAGAAAGTTATGGTTGTTTTCATTATTAAAAGAAAAAAAAAAAAACCTGTATGTCATGCCAAGTTGATGTGGTTCACAAATGTTTATTAGGGTGATTTTTGGCTGTTTAATATATCCACTATTTGCTTTATGATGCGCTCATATCATTTTTTTTATAATTAATTTCATTTTTTTTTTATAACAGTTTTCTGAAATAAGTTGTTTAGGTGATCTAGTTTCTAATACTTCTACCAAGATATTTTCCACAAATGTTCTGTGATTCAAAGAATGCATTATGATGACTAATATTTCATTCTGATGCTCTCCATTTTTCTGTTTCCCATTCCGCGTTACATGTTCTCTTTCACTTTCTAGCTTTTAGTTTTTTTCTTATATACTCAATTTTTGCTGAATCTGATAGGTGTTTAATTCAATACCATCCATAATACCTAGGGTGTCACATTACTTTGAGGAGTGTGATTACCATGAATTGAATCACACAGAATTTTGCATTGTCGTGTTTGTTATAGACAGTAATGTTGCAATTAAAATCCTAGGAATCCTTTCATTGTGTGAAAAAATTTAGATCAATTAGTACAAATCATTGGACATCATTTTATGGTTGGATTTGAAAATCAAAAACTGATAATTTATGTTAGATTTAGTCAATTTAAGTGAATCTTGACATTTATTGTTGTTGTTTCTAAAAGAGACCGGATGAAAATATGATGTAATTATACCTAGTTCAAAATTGTCTCTCTCACCTGATGAAGCCCTGAGGCTAGGTATGATGATGAATTTATTCTAAAAGGAGGAATATGCAATTCTGCAAAACAAGTAAATCAAAGAAGTAAAATTAATGATATATTTTCAGAAAATTGAATGTAGCTACTGTTAAAAAAATGATGTAAATGGAAAAAAGTGCCTCAAATATATCGAGGATTATTGTACTTATTGGAGAAATAATAAATTCATTTTTGGATGATAAAATTGGAAAACTGTATTAGGGTTTCTCATCTTTAAGTAAAATAAGAAAATTGGTATTTTATAAGCTTAGATAATCTTATTTGTGAGGGGGGTATTTTATGCTAAGAGCAAAAAGATGCAAAATTCTATTGAGCTGACTGATGTGGAAATGTGATTACCTAGTTCAATAATAAGGTCATCTGATTGACAGGTTAAACTGCATTACCAAGGTTTTAGTCAATCAAATGTGGCAAACTGGTTTTTCAAGAAAAATTCCCATTAATATTATCAACATTACCTCATACTTAATGCAATGAGTGCATGAAAAATTATGAAGAGTCAAAATGACACAGGATATGTTAGTGGGCTTTAGGGTTAAGGGTCTGACTTTGACTAAACTAGACTTGTGAATGGTGTGTGTTAACAGTAAACAAGAGATTAGTGGGCTGTTCTAGGGGTGAAACGGTAGTAGAAATAGAAGATAAGAGGAAAAGGTAGAAAAATGCTGGGAGTTACACCTAGGTTTCTTCTGGTATCAAACATAAAGATAGTAACCATCCTTAAAAATCATGCCTAAGGTTGATTGCATCATAATCTCAAAGCTTGACATGCTAAACATTTCTGAATGTTATTAATATGTCTATTCAATAGCTTCCTCTTGTAAACTTACGTTGTCAATAGAAAGCTCTATGCTCAGAATCTTTCAATGAAAATTTACCATTCCCTATTCTTTCTCTCGTTTTCAATTTATGGTGGTCTCTTTAAATAAACTATTGCAATCTCATCCTAGTTGATATAATTGTTGGTGATAATAATGATGAATGGGTAGTGTATTCTTTTAACTAATGTTCCAATCATTAGGACTAGTTACTCTATTGCTTTGGTTTGCAATTTTGGAATGCAAATTTGAATTTGATGTTTGTATTTCAAATTTTCTATATTTATAATGAACAAATTTAGATATATGCTGTTTAGATAGAACCACCATGGATTTAAAATTCATATTTTTGAGACAATAGGTGTGAAATTTTATTTTGTAAAATACTAGGTAAGATGTTCATGGTTGTATTACTGATTTGAAATTAATGTGTTTAGGCTTTATGAAATGCATGCATTTTCATTGCACCTTTAACTGATGATGTAATTATATTTCAGAGAAAATCAAGCCTTCTGATGTTGGTCTGGAACAGGAAGCTCAAGTAGTGCGAAATTGGTCTGGTCCTGTGCCTGAGCGGAATGGCAGCCATCAGTCACTGCCTGCAATTAAATACCTGCATTTACACGAGTGTGAAAGCTTCTCAGTAAGCATAGATATTGTGTTTCTAAATTGTTTAAAGCTTTAAGATATGGAAGGTATACTCTGAAATTATAAAGTTGGGGAAATGGTGAGATCTGTATGTAATTAGTTTTTCTATTTTCTTGCAGATAGGAATTTTTTGCATGCCGCCTTCCTCTATAATACCACTTCATAATCATCCAGGAATGACTGTGCTGAGCAAGCTCATCTACGGCTCATTACATGTGGAATCATATGATTGGCTTGATTTTCCTGAGCCTGAGGATCCACTGCAAGGTTTATTTCTGATCATAACTTCCTTTCCACTTTTATCTCTCTAATTTATTTGATGCTTGTGAACAAAAGCCAGAACTAGGCATGTGTAGCTCTGGTTGATTTTGTGAAGGTTAGTTTGATATAAAGTAAATTGTTTCTTGGGCATAACAGAATTCACAAAAGAATATGAGCATTGTTGTTTCTCACATCCTGTTTTGTTGATCACCCTGTTTCTCTTCAAAGCAGTCTTTATATTCAGTAGTTATTTGAGATAGTTAATTGCTCAAAGATTGAGATTAGTTTGATTTATCTGTTGATATTTATCGTTAAAAACATTGCGTGACTGCTCTCTTTACAATATAGCGTTACAAGATTGTTATTATATCTAACCTGACAGAAAACCCCTTCTTTTACCTCTATTTTTTTGCCGGTTGTCAAGTATGTAGGTACTATTCTTGTCACTTAATTTTGAACTTCAAAGAATTCTTCTCTAAAGATTAGTAATTTACTATTCTTGGTAGCTTGAATTGTGGTACAGAATTTCGTTCTTGGCAATTCTTGGTTAATATTTCTGTTAAGTCTTTCTGATCTTTCTTAGTATGTAGGCCATAGTCCTCCCCCCATGATCTGCTAATTTGAAATATGATTATTTCAAAGTTATTTGAGAAAGGAAATAATTATGTCTTCTTTTGTGTCTTTATCATTGTATGCTGAACTGAAATTCTTAGCTTGATTTATAATTTCTGAACCTGCTGTCCTTGATGTTACATCAATTGGTTCTCACATGGCATCTCTGAAGAATGTGATTGAAACTGGGTACGCATTTTGTGGAAACTTCATTATTTATAGAAGAAACTTTTATGCTGGCCAAAAATAAATAAATAAATAAATAAACCAAAACTTGCATGGATTTGGTTCTGCTTTTAACGCTATCCATATAAATGGAAAATTCATTCAAAGTTGATAAAAACCAGTTAATATACAAAATATGAATGCATGACTTTAGAGAATCATGTAGATGGTTGAAGGATTTACATGGATGTTGGTCTTGATATCTTTGGTGCCTTTGATTTATGGTTATTTATTTTGCCTTTTTTCATGCCCCAAGCTTGTTGATTTGCATGATGCATGTAGATTGTAGAATGAATTGGAGGGAGATTAACCTCTATATTTCCTAATTGTTGTTTATGACTATGATTGGGTGATTTTCAGCTAGACCTGCAAAGCTTGTTAGGAATACCCCGATGACAGCCCCTTGTGCATCAACAGTTCTTTTCCCTACGACTGGAGGCAACATGCATTGTTTTGCAGCCCGGACCCCCTGTGCTATTTTTGATATCCTGTCTCCACCTTATGCTGCAGAGCATGGGCGAGATTGTACTTATCTTCGCAGGTCCCCAAGAAAGGATTTACCTGGTAAATTGGATTTATTTGAAATATTCTTTATTTATTGTAGCTAGCTCTTTTATTATATCCATTCTTCTTATTTCTTTCCCATGTTTAATGAAGGTGAACTAGAAGTGAATGGAGTGGTGACCAAAGTCACTTGGTTAGAAGAGTTTCAACCTCCTGACAACTTTGTGATACGAAGGGGGCTGTACAAAGGTCCGGTTATTAGATCTTGAGAATTTCTTGTACCAATTGGAATTACAGAACATCGTGAAGAGGAGTGGCAACCAGCGAATAATCAATATTTGGGCTATATAAATTAGGCATTTGGCTTGTACATAGTAATGGTAGACCTTTGATTTACTGACCTCACATCTTATTAGTGAGATAGTGACTGAAAGTCGAGAGGATCTTGGTGCCAATGACATTCTGTTTCTTATTTTGTTTGGTTAATGATAATGAAGATGATATGATTCCAGCCCTTGTCTTGATGACTTTGCTCAGATATGAATAGATTGAATGCTGCCTTTTGTCAGGAATCTGGTTTGGGAGCGTGCAGTGTTAGACCACAACTTAATCGTATGCGGTTTTTTGGGTTTATTAGAGGAAGAATCTGTCTGATATCTGTCTGTCTTCTCTTTCTAGCTGAGGAATTTGATTTTACAGAAACAATATCCTCCATCACTGGTCTATCCTGCGGATTATTTGCCCTTTCTCTATCTCTGGATTCTGGACTTCCAGGGTTCAGGGACCATTTGAGCAATTGGATCTTTGGGTTATGCCAAAAATGCTTGGAATCACTGATGGTCTTACTGCAGGGTTATGGGCCATTAGGGATGGTATCTTGACTGCAAGCCGAAGGGTTTCTGTAAACTCCATATTGAATCTAATTCTTCTACTGCCATTCAAATACTTACCAAGGCTATCAATCCTACACATTGTCTTAATACTTTCATCTTGGGTTGCATGGAATTGTTACAGCAATTCGATCCTGTCGAGTTCTCGCACGTTGTCAAGAGAATGCTATACGTGCGCAAATAAGATGACCAAACTGGGAAGACCTTTGTCTTCTTCTTTTGTTGTTTATGAGGATCGTCCTCCCCAATGTATTTCGTTTTTATGAATGAATGTTCTTATTTGCCAAAAATAATAAAGGGTTAGATAAAAAAAGGACAACAAATTATCCCTTCTGTTTATACTATAAATTGACAAAATTATCAAATGATGTAACGTGTAATATAATTTGAATAAGTAGTCATGATTAGAGATGGAGCTAGAATATGATTTGAATCAGTGGTTACGATTAGGGGCAGACTTAGAATTTTTGTTTAGGGGGCCAAGAAGTTAGATCTAAAGTTGTAAATAAAGATAGTAAAAAGTATACACCTTTCCTGGTTTCATAAAGTAGAAATCACCTATATTTGTGTCTATACTAAATTTTTTTGTAATCTCCTTTTTAGTATAAGTAATTATATAATCTTTGAGAAAGTCATCTTCTATCTTGTTGTAGTCTTGTCTTGATAATTTTCATAGTTGAAAAAGCTTTTTCAGCGGTTGTTGTTGATGCAAAAGAGTTAAAACAAGTCAAATCAATCTATTAATGAAATGATAAACTCATTTTTAATCCTTTTACTTTAACAAAATTTTATTTTTAGTCTCTTTATTTAAAAAAAGTCCCTTTAGTTAAAAAAAAGCTCATTTTTGGTCCCTAAAATTTAAATCTGACCCCTTTTTAAACCCCTTCATTATCTTTTTGCATAAATGCCATGTTAGATAATTGAAATTCCAAAGAAGAGGGATTAAAAAGGGTTTTTTTCTTTTTCTTTTTTTAAGTAGAGAGACCAAAAAAGGACTTTTTTAGTCCCTTGATCCCATTACTTTAGAATTTCTATCATCCAATGTGCTATATATGCAAAAAGTAATGGAGGGACCAAAAAGGGATAGGATTTTAAACTTTAGAGACCAAAAAGGGACTTTTTTAAGTAGAGGGACTAAAAGGAGACTTTTTGTAAAAGTAAAGGACTAAGAATGAGGTTTTAATTTTCATATTTTAGACAAATAATTTTTTTTTATTTGAAAAATCTAAAAGATAACACGTCTCAACAAGTTTGTATATATCATTAATATTGAATGATTTAGGTTAAATACCCTTTTTGGTCCCTCTATTATAAGAAAAAGTCCCTTTTTGGTCCCTGTACCGAAAAAATCCCTTTTTTAATCCCTAAACTTTAAAATCCGACCCCTTTTTAGTCCCTCCGTCAAATTTTGCTCACGTGGCATGTTAACTTAACTGGAACAACTGACGTGGGTATGCCAACATGTTAAAAATGCTTACGTGGACTTTTGACACCTTCCACGTCACTCGCCACGTCACTCTCCCGTGCGCAAAAATGAAAAAAAAAAAAACCCCAATCTTAGACAAAGGGGAAGTTTAAATTATTTTTTTTAGAACCCTAAAATCGTTCCTTTTTCCTTTCTATTTCTGTCTTAAAAACAATCCCTAACAGAGCAATATCTCTTCTTTTTCTATGGATTCGCCTTTCAATCGAGTCTTCTTACTCTTTGTCGTGATCGATCGTTGAATGAGAAGCAATGTCTGCAGAAATCATAGATATCGACCTGGAAGGGGATTCAGATGGCAACGGGAATGAGGTACGCTTTTTGTCCACGAATCTTCTTTTGAGATGTGTAAAGGTTATGCTTAATGGGTGGGGTTGTCTTGTTATTGTCCTGGTGTCTGATGAGTGCAGTAAGAAAATGGGTAAAGTGGGGTTTTCGAATATCTGTTTATTGACTTACTTTCTGAAAAGGGGCATCTGGTCCCCACCTTATGTGTTTTTCATGGGTCAGTGTGTTTACCTGTATGGAAGCAATAAGGTTTTATAATTCGTTTCTGTTTTTTATTGTTTATTGTCGTTAAACTTGGTTGTTGAGATGCACTTATTATGTAAAATATTGAATTTTTTATTTGCATTATTGAATAGGGTGATTAGGGGATCGAGAAGCATGTGCTGTTTATTCATATATGTGGTAGGTTAATACAAGATAATGGACTTAAATATGTTGATGGAAAGTGTTGGGACTGGCATGTAGACATAGATAAATTAACTGTGAGGGAGTTGTTCCAAAAGATTTCAATAGCACGTTATGATCCAGATATGGTAGAGCACATATGGTATTTGGAACCTGGAAAGACACTCAGTGATGGCTTGAAGCAAGTAATAGGTGATGCTTCAATTAGAGAAATCTTGGACATACTGAGGGTTCACAATAAGGTTCACATATATGTAATTCATATACCAGATTTCCCTTTTGTGGTTGAACAATTTCTTGCATTACCAGCACCTGGCGATGATGCAAACAAGGGTTAAGAAACTAATAATGGTAGTAAAGGGGTTGAGACTGAGGGTGTTACTCATGGTAAAGGGGTTGATGGTGAGTTTCGTGTGGAGGAAAGCCAAAAGGAGAGTGTAGTTGAGGATTATTATGAACCTGGACAAGATTTTACTGCAAAAGGTGTTTGGTTAGAGAAGGAAGATGAAGCTGGTGTTGGTGTTGAGAAGGAAGATGAAGCTGGTGCATCAAAAAGTGAGGAGGTGGCTGATGACCATAATGATGATCTCAATGGGGACAAAGAGGCAGAAGGTGATGAAGGGCATTATGATCCTATTATGGATATCCCTAAGTTAACAGATAATGAAGATAAGGAGGCTATGGAGGCCAGAAAGAAGGTCAAGTCCTTTTGTTATAATTTCCAAGAGGATAATGCAGGACCTAGTTCCTATCATGATGGTGGTATG